ACTGCCCTCTTGGCCTGCATTGACCACGGGTATGATAATGTTGTTATTGAATCTGATGCCAAAGTGATTATTCAGATGATCAAGCATGAAATTGATCTGGATTTCAGTATTGAATGTATTCTTGGTGATATTGAGGTGCTAGCGCGTAGGTTGAGGTCAGTTTCGTTCTCTTACGTGCCTAGGGAGGGCAATGCTGCTGCTCACTCGGTTGCTAAGTTTGTTTTCAAGGAGGGTCGTGAATATGGGTGGGACTGTATTGGGCCTGAATTTTTGTTTAATATCCTAGCCCATAATGTAAACCTTTCTATTCGTATCTAATATATTTCTATCTTCGGGAAAAAAAAAAAACATGCCTGTGTAAAAAATTGTGTGGTGTAGGACCATGCTTAAAAAATGAAACAAAAGCTAAAACCCAAACTAAAACTCAAGTACTAGTAGACCACGCCTAGAAAATGGAACAAAAGCTAAAACCCTAACTAAAACTCAAGTACGAGTAGACCACGCCTAGAAAATGGAACAAAAGCTAAAACCCTAACTAAAACTCAAGTACAAAAGAAGCCGGAAAAACGTTAGGTATAACTGATGGACAGTCTTTGAACAAAAAAAAAAAAAAAAAAAAAAAAAAAAAGACAGTCCCGTTCTTCAAGCCAGCCGTCAGATGTAATCCAACGGTAGAGAAAGAAAAAAACAATTCTTGTTTACTTTTCTCGCTCATCCTTCGCACCTTATTCCCGTCTCCTTCTCCCCTGCAATTCTCCTAACAAAAATGGAATCCCAAGAAAAAACCCCCACACAGCCCGCCGCCCAACGCCGTCGTTCGTCGATCTCCGTGGATCGGCTTTCTTCGTAGATTTCTCTCGTTCGTCGTTCATCTTCTTCTAGATGAGGAAGAGACGCGGAGAGGGATTGGAGAGAAAATTAAAGTGGATTGGAGATCTGAGATTTCTATGAATTGCTAATTCCTTAATTTTCTCTCTCTTTTCTCACACCTTTGCTCTGTCAATCCTCTCTGCGTCTCTTCCTCATCTAGAAGAAGATGAACGACGAACGAGGGAGACTCAGATCTCCAATCCATTTCTTCTGTATTGTTGTTAACGATACGGATAAAGTGGATTGTGGATCTGTGATGAAGAGGAGGTGGTTCTTTGGCTCTTCAGTCGGGGAAAATTTGTTAGTCAGACTAGGTATGCAAATATCTTTTTTTACTCTACATCTAATTATCTAATTTTCACTTGGATAGAAATTTATCTACGATAATACAGGTTTAATGTTCTTGGTTTATCTTTTCTTTAAGTTTTAGTGTTTTATTATCTACATCTATTGGTGGTCTTTTAGTTTCCTTCTTGTATTTTGTTATTAGTGTAATTAGTAGTGTAGGTTTTAAATTCTAGAATGTTTTAAGAGTTGTGGAGTTTATTGGAGTATTAGAAACTATGAAAAAATCTTGCTTGATTTATGGTTGGTGGTTGCCGCATCGGAGAAGCAAGAGCAACCAAAATCCAGAAACAAACCATTTTTGTTAGTGACTTGCAGGGTGTGTGTTGGTATCCTGTGTAATCTGTTCTTGTGATTCCGTATCTAAATGAAGAACTGAAACTCTAGCTTAAGTCGTGACTGATTTTTTGCGTGTATTGGTAATTCAAATTTAAAAGAAGAACAACAATAAGCCAAAACAAAACCATGTTCTGGCTGCTGTGCAGTGCTCAGGGTTATGTATGTGTGCTTGCGCACTCGTGTGATTCCAATTCCAAATTATGAATTCGGAACGGAATCTATCTTATTTTCTGCTTGTGGAACCCAAATATCCTTCTTTGTATGTGTGTTTGTAAAAATGGGTTATGTGATGGATCGTGGGTTACTTTTGTTTATTAAAAAAAAAAAAATTGTTTTATACTTATGCTAAAATTACATAGATCCATCCAAGATCTAATGAGGTTTAGCTTTAAATGTTAGTCTTACACAATCTGTTTTTGGGTGCTGTTTGGGTTCCACTGAAAAGAAACAAGAATGTTTGAATTAGGTCTCCTGGATTAAATAGCAGAAATAGTATTTTTTAAGAGTTTCATCGACTAGAATTGATAATAGGCTGAAAGTATTTTGGTGTTGGTCTACGTTCAAAGTAGTGGTATTTGGTGTAAATTCCTATGTTATTGCAACCTCAGCATCGATTTTTCAACTGATGACTTGAATTGAATTTCTTGATGTTATGAATTTAATTCTGTTGATTCATTTCTATGTTTTGTGAATCGAAGGTGCCTGGTGTTGCTTCTGTGGAAGTAATTGGAGGGCATAGAGTTGACTTCCATGATGACAGACGGGTTGGTGAACTTCTGAGGTTAATGATTGAACTATTGGAGGGCATAGAGTTGACTTCCATGATGACAGACGGGTTAGTGAACTTCTGAGGTTAATGATTGAACTAACTCTTCCAAATTATTTTCTGTAGAGAGTTGTAGACGATGCTGCAAACGATTGGTGATCACACCGGTAGATTACTAACTAAGCCCTTTAACCCTTCAAAAGAATCAAAGGAATCAGGTTATATGAATAAAAGTTCATTGGTTTGTAATAGACTAATAGTTAAATGATTCGGAGTGACTAAAAAACTGTAACGAAAATATGATCATATATGTAAAACCCAAGGCTAAGAAGCATAACTAAAAACAAAAAGATACTCTTGACAGTTGCAGTATGAGACATAAACAAATCAATTAAAATTTCCAATTCAGAATGAGTTTTGCATGTAGATATTTTCAAAGAACACAAATATTTTCCATCATCAGAATGCACCCAGGATACTAACACCAATGAAAATTATCGCCAAAGGAAAAAAAAAAAAAAAAAAAACTGTAGAATGAAATCGCTGTTCTTGAGCTTGCCGTTAGGTTTGGGCAAAAGGGTAAACTCTAGTTGAAGGAAGAGAATAATTAGAGACTAACTAACCGTTGGCTTCTATTTCACTTGTTTGGGGATGGGGAGGGGGCATTGGAATGATTCCAAGTCCGTACAGAAATTGGGTTTTGTTTGGATTTTCCTCAGCTGCTTTGTATGCTGTATACTGCCATTGTACCGGAAGCTAATCTAAACTTGTGTATCAACTATCAAGTAACGGGAAAAGATAAAGGAAAGGATAACTCTATTCATTCATGTAATACATACGAAAAAGAAAATTAAACATGGAAACATGGAAAAGATAAAGGAAAGGATAACTCAATTCTATGTTTTGTGAATTGAAGGTGCCTGATGTTGCTTCTGTGGAAGTAATTGGAGGGCATAGAGTTGACTTCCATGATGGCAAATGGGTTAGTCCCCCACTTCAAACACGTCTCGTTCCTCTAAATTCCAACTTCTACTGTCTCTGAGTCTTATTCCATCACGGAGGAACTGAAATGTCGTAGGTATTTGGATCTGTTTCTTTCCATTTTTGTCGGAGATATTTTTGTGTTTGATTTTTGTTCCTTTATGTGTAGGTATTTTCTTTAAATTTTGATCTTCTTCAGCTTCTACTGCACCATTAAGTTACGTTGCTTACTAATGTTTCTTTTTCTCAACACGAATGAAAAAATTAAGCCCAATTAACCATCATTTAACAGTGAGAGCAAAGGGAAACCGCCCACTTTGTAAGAAGATGCATGTTAGCCATGTGAAGGTACAATTTTTAGTTTGACGATTGCTTTTAATTTGTGCATCTTCACCTACGACCCGACAATTAATTAATTACTAGCATTCATCTTTCTTTTGCAGTTACCAGAGTATCGTGCTTTACTCTCAACAAGTCAAAGATTTAATGGAGTTTCAAAGTTACAAGCACTCTCTTTGGGTTGGGGTTCTTTTCTTCTTTTTTCCTCATCCTTTTCCATTTCTGTTTCCTCATCTTTAAACATTCTAATTTGCTTTTTTATTTGTTTTATTGGTTTACAAAGTTACCTATAGTAAATATAATACAGCTTTCTCTGTCAGTTTTGTATTTTTTGGGTTATAAGGGCATTTGTGTCCTTTTCTTTATTGAAGCATTTTGACACCAAACAGGGGCTGCCTTTTATAATAGAGGAGAAAGGGTCCTAGGATCATTAACCAAGGGAGAGAGGGTGAGTTGGGAGGAGAGAAGGCTTGTTTTACCTCATCTTGCCTCAAATTCAAGGTACATCATTCTTTCTTCCTTCCATTTTTGACGTTTCTTTTTGTTTTCTGGTTATTTTATAGATTTTACACTCATAAGTTTTTTGTGATTTAGGTATGCATATAAGTTTTGTGTTTTTTGTGATTTATGGTATTCCTATGGCTATAGATTTTAGTGATTTGAGTTGCATTTTCTTTCTTTGCACCATTATTTATGTTTCATTTTAGTTTTCTTTTCATGTTACAGTTTGTACACCACCTGTTTGACATAATTCCTCAATCACGTTATGTTATGCCTATAAGCTTTTGTGGTTTATACATCTTTCTTTCCTCCTTTTTTCATATTTCCTTTTAGTTTTCTTGTTATGTTACAGAATGTATACGAAGTGTCTGATATTTTTCCACTTTAGCCAAATTGTGTACCCTTATGTCTGGTTTTTAGTTTTCTGTTCATGTTACAGTTTGTACACCACCTGTTTGACATAATTCCTCAATCACGTTATGTTATGCCTATAAGCTTTTGTGGTTTATACATCTTTCTTTCCTCCTTTTTTCATATTTCCTTTTAGTTTTCTTGTTATGTTACAGAATGTATACGAAGTGTCTGATATTTTTCCACTTTAGCCAAATTGTGTACCCTTATGTCTGGTTTTTTAGTTTTCTGTTCATGTTACAGTTTGTACACCACCTGTTTGACATAATTCCTCAATCACGTTATGTTATGCCTATAAGCTTTTGTGGTTTATACATCTTTCTTTCCTCCTTTTTTCATATTTCCTTTTAGTTTTCTTGTTATGTTACAGACTGTATACGAAGTCTGATATTTTTCCACTTTAGCCAAATTGTGTACCCTTATGTCTGGTTTTTCTATTATTTTAGTTATGCCTCTACCGCTGCGAGAGCCAGTTGTAGCTTTTGGGAGCATCGCTATGCATGCTGTTGTTGTTGGCACGTATTTCGTTTTCGGTATAGTTGCTGGTGCCGTCAACATATATGCTAATGATCAAGGGAAGGATCGTGCGTCTGGCTGCAACGAGTCTGATAAGTGGGTGGGCAATATTATATGTGCGTTCAACAGGACTGCTAGTAACTTATATTTTACTAGTGTGACTTTATCAACTGTTGGTTACGGAGACATCGTTCCCCGTGACGGAGATAAAGTTGCCATGTTGCTGACAATGCTCTTGATGATATTGGGTTACTACATTGTGAGTTTTCTAATTGCCGCGGAAGTTGACAGATTGGGTTGTTGGTTATTGATGCGCTTCAACGAGAGAAGAAGAGGATTCATAAGATTTTACTCGGCATGTCTTTGCGGGCCAATACTCATAGCTTCTGGAGGTGTTATGATTAGGTATATGGAGGAGATTTCGTGGGCCGATTCCTTCTATCTATCAGTGGCGTCTGTCACAACTACAGGGTACGGGGATAAGCATTTCAAAACATTGTTGGGCAAGTGTTTTGCTAGCATATGGCTTCTGGTCAGCACCATCCTGAATAGTAAATCTGCACAGTTTTTGTTTGACGCGACCATGCGGATAGAAAGAGTGAGATCTTGTGGTGACTGTGGCACCATTTGCCACACATGTGCCGTCGCGGACTTAACCTCACAAATACACGCAGAACGCATTGGATGAAACTATTATTTTGTTGAACTGTTGTTTTATGGACTCAGATTACATGGATGTAAGGATTTATGATGGGGTATAGCCTCGTGATGCCCTTCTTTATAGTAATGTAATGGATTAAACTCCTTTGTTAGATACAAAAATCTTTTTCGATTTTAAGAGCATTGGCTCTATGATTCTCATTTTAATTAATTATTACAGGCTGCTTAGAAGAATATTTGATATACATACATGTATATATATATAACTCGTCAACCTGATGGATCATGTTATGCTCTCTTTATCCAGAAATGTTGGAATATTGACAAATATAACAGAGAAGCATAAACTTGTGTCTAATTTCAACCATTGATGGGGAATGATCTATGGCACCATATTTTAGACAACTTTAAACGCAAGAATTCAATCGTTAGATTAAGAGTAATGGCTCCAGTGGTGAGCTGGTTTGTACCGTACCAGAACAGAAATAGGAGAGCAAACACGAAGACACTAAGCTCAGAGATTGAATATAAGTTTTCGTTACAAGTATGTTAAGTTGCTTGTTTGCATCCTTGTGCTTAGTTCTTACATTGTTTCCAAATTTATTTTGTAATTGTTGAAATCATTTCTTGGATCACCCATCCAAAAATCATATTTAAAATGTTCCTTGTGGATCCCTTTCTTTCGCAACCAGTAGCTCTTTCCCAGTTAAATCTGCAAACCCATTCTCTTCTTCACTCTTCGCACTAGATAAGGTGCAAAATTGTTTCAGTGAATGAGAAAGTCAACGAGGGAGTCGGAGTACCTATTTGGAATCGGTGCTTTACATGCAAAATTGCAGGAAGAAAAAGTAACCGGAAACACTAAACCTCGTTAAACATTAAGTCAAGGTCCTAACAATCCTCCCCCCTAAGAAGAAGCTTGTCCTCAAGCGTTGAAGTCAGCGAGTGACCGCATGGTTGCCGCGTTTGAACATCCCACGCTGCAAAAAATATTTCCGGTGTCCAAGCCAAAAGTCCCGTGTCTGACATGGGTGGAAGCACAGAGGAAGGAACCACATGAGAGCCCAGCTTAGGCTTAAGAAGAGAGACATGAAAGGTGGGGTGAATGCAAGATCCTGGAGGCAAATCCAAAGTATAGGCTACTTTCCTCACACGAGCAAGGACTTTGTAAGGACCATAATAAGTGGGTGCCAGTTTGGGGCAGTTGGTGTGACTGATAGAGGATTGATACATGCATGGCTGCATGCAAGTTGTGGCAGCAAGCTGGAATTAGCAGCTCCTGTTCATCAGTCAACTCCCAGGCCTCAAACCATCAATGTAGATCGCTCGGATATAGATGACTTATCCATGGAAGTTGGTTCAGATTATGTCTACTCCAACATATTCAAAATTGGCGCCAATCTAAGCTCTGTAGCATTCCCAGTGCATCCCACACCGACAGATGCTCAGATTCGCAGGGGCTCAAAATGTCAACTTAAAATGCTCAAATGAAAACGACTTTTCATGAAAGCTTCTCCAAATTGTGTCTAATGTAGCATATCCAAATTTGGGGATAATCTATTCACTGTAGCGTTCTGTGTGCTCAAAATACTGAAGCTTGTTCTAAGGAAACTGTAGCAGCTGCCCAATAAATGCGTAAGTTGGACTTCTAGCCTCTATGGATGAAAGAGTTGGGAGCAACGACGGGGAGTAATAAACCTGCAGTGGTTGTTGACTAAATGGTAAAAGGAGGTGGAATTCATCATGCGTGAAGACAAGAAGTGATGGAAGTAAAAGAAACGGAGGAAAAAGTCATACCTTTGGAATTCATCATGCGTGGTAGCCAATGAAACCCAAAGATTCTAACCATTCAGCTTCAAGAACCAAATCACACCTCATGATGAATTATAGGCGCATATCTGAGGAAAAGTCATACCCTTGGAAATTGACGGAGACATTGTAAGCAAGCCCTTTGGTATAACAGATACGACCATTAGCAATAGCCACGAGTTCAATATAAGAATTGTCGATGCGGAAGCCAAGACGAGTCGCAACCGAGGGGTTGATCTGCCTTGGAGTCCACAAATACCTGAACAGGCAATCCGCCAATGTGATTGACAAGGCACATAGCAAGACCGCATGTACGTTTAGGAGAGGTACGTGTGTCGAGAGTGAGGGGGACGATGTTGTCCACTAGAGGCTTGTCGGGTACCCATGGAGAATTATCTGGAGTTATGTTGGAGGCTGCCTTGAAGACTACAACATCTAATAGTAATAGATGAGGGGTTGCACATGTATGGCCTCAAAAGTATTTCTTAGGGCAATAGAGATATTGGCCCTTGGAATGACGCTCACGAATCTCAGCCGTGAAGAGGTGCAGAGATGGCCAAGCTGGAGATAAGAGAGAAAGTGTAGTTGTGGGGGGGGGGGGGGGGGGGGGGGGGGGGGGGGGGGGGGGGGGGGGGGGGGGGGGGGGGGGGGGGGGGGGGGGGGGGGGGGGGGGGGGGGGGGGGGGGGGGAGGGGGGAGTAGGGCAAAATATGAAGACGCAATAATTGTATTAGAATGTTAACCAAACTTTGATACGTTGTAATACGTAATATTTGAGGATTATAGGAACTTACGGATTGGGAATCCAATTTACGGATCTTCCGGAATTGGAGTTGTAAGTTCATAAAATAGAATGTTAACCGTCACTTGGTTTTGACAATTGACGGAGATCCGACCGTTGGATGGTAAGGAAATTTTAGGATGTTGTTCTAGGGATATATTGTGGAGCTCTGGAAGTTATGGATTGGAAATCTGAGTTGCAGATCTTTCGGATCAAACTGCATAGTGACGTGTTTTATATAAATTATATATTCTAGCGATATGACTTCTGAGGTTTGATTTGATGTTTGTTCTAGTCGCCGATCGTCATGACGCCTCGATGTGTTGTGCTATGGAGTTGTAGGGCGAACTCCAGGTGAGTGGGCGGTTATTTTCTATATATACCTATATACTATTGATTTTTCCCAGAAATTGAATTTAAATGAAAGTATGTTTTAAAATGCCATGCATACATAGATATGAAATATGTGAGTTAGTAATTGATGCATATATGTTAAATGGTGTTGTGGACGCACATGTGAGTATCAGGTGAGTTTTATGTTGTTCATGTGATTTAATGATGATGTGAATTATGTTGAGAGCTCATAACCTGCACCCATGGTGTTAGTGCTTATATTATTCACCCTGCACCACACGCTCACCTTGGATCCAAGTAGGTGCATGTCGTACAGATCACATTGGTGATTCCGACATGTCGTACAGACCACTAGAGGTGGTTCTGACCTGTAGGTGACTTTAGATTATTATACAGTTGTTGATGAGAGAAGCACTAGAGCGTATTCTTACACCATTCTTGTCGTACAGACTATTTTAGGTAGTTCCGATTTATGTGCAGAGTAGTGCCATACAGGTCATAGTGGTGACTCCGGTTGGATTGGATATTGAGCTATAAAATTAACCGTACAGGACCAACTCCGGTTGATTCCTTATTTCACCTGTTATTGATGCATCTTTATTATGTTTTGATGCATAGCATGGCATATTTTCTTGAAAAGTGTTAAAGACTTGTGATTTGAGTTTTGAGATTATATATGGTTATATATATACTATTTTCTGGGAAAGTATATAGGTTTTACAGTGAAGGGTTAGAAATGTTGTTAAATGAAATGTTTTCGAAAAAACTTTGTTTTACTGACCCACTCAACTTTGTTTTGCGCCCCTCCAGGTTCAAGATAGCAGAGCTTTGGTGGTCACGAGGAATCCATCAGTGTTCTGACAGAATTCACAAAAGTAGGATTCACCCTCGGGTGTTATATCTTAGTAATTGTATCTTTAAAGCTTCCGAACTGTGTAAATGGTTACATCACTCTCACGTGACGGCCAGTATGCCCTTCTTCGGGACGGGATGTGTCAGTTGGTATCAGAGCCTAAGTTGTAGTCCTGGACATCTTGAGAATTCCCTAGTGTCTTCTGTCAGAACTTTACCGCCTTGTAGATAGCCAATTTGTTCAGATGAGCTAAGTTTCCCCGATTTAACTTAGTTATGGGAAACTATTACTAATGTGATTCAGTCTATTATCCGTCCTTCCCAAAGGACTCCTTTTGAGAATGGTTATAAGTTGAATCTGAATCACTTTATGGAAATGAAAGACCGGAGGGAGCAGATCGATGGCTTAATCATTGGAAAAGGCATTTCAAATTCTGCAAGTTAAGGAATCTTTCTTTTGAAAGGTAGGTCGAGATGACTATTTGGTTTCTGAGTATTGAAATTGCATCCTGGTGGAGATATGAGTCTTATACGATGTCACCGGAGGAAACAGCTGAATGAGAATTATTTAAAAAGTTGTTTAAGAAAAGGTTTATTCCTTCAACATATATGGACGGTAAGAAACAAGAGTTTACAATTTGAGACAAGGAAAAGAATGAGAATCAAAGGAAAGATGACCAAGGTAAAGGTCATGTGTCTCAAGAACCTCGCAAGACTTAGAACTTCAAAAGAAGTGGAGTTAATTCTAGTTTTGTCAGTAGAGATTTTTGTACCATTGGTCAGATGCGAGGTGGTAGATTTACTGGAGATCCTAGATTACAGAGGCGAGGTGACTCTGGTAGAGGAAATGTACCTTTGTTCCGTAAGTACAATAGCATACACTTTGGAGAGTGTAGGCGGGAAAGCAGATGATGCTTTACATGTGGACAAATGGGACATAGAGCTACAAGATACTCAAAATCTTTCGGGCTTGATCATGGGCACGTTAAACATTCTTGGTTACTTTGCTAGAGTTTTAATTTATTGTGATGTAGAAATTTTATGTTATTGACGATGTTGCCAAAGAAAGTAGTGAATAAGCACGATCAAGGAGTGTATATGTATTTCTAATGAATAGCAAGATGATAATATTGCACCCTTAAGAATTGTTGCTTACTTATCGAGACAACAGTGAGTTATTGTTATTGCGGGCTGCAGACCGTAATATCCATAACTTATTTGTTGGATTCGTTA